TAATGGTGACTAAAATCCATCAATAAGGTCTATTCTGTTTCAGAAGGAAAAAACCTAGGTGATAACTTTTACAAACAGTTCTAGGATAATGGCCAAAATTTGAAGGCTGCCACACTTAGAGATGGCACTGTGAGACCTTATATAAATAGTTCCTCCAGACTGAGGGTGGGATGGGGAGCATTATCATAAAGAATGTTAAATATATTACAGATGCAGTTATCTCAGAATAACAACATGGAAAGACTTCAAACTTTAAATCATAAAAGTGTTAAGTTGACTAAAGAATCTTTTAACCAAATTAAATAAATTTCAGCCTTATAAGTATATCTACTACATAATGCTACAGTATTTATAAAAATGAGTATTTCTTTCCTCATCTAAATAGGCCTTTTACAAAAGTATAATTTTCATAACTACAGTTAAAAATTGTCTTTATTATATCAAAGAACAGATTATATAATATTTTATTAAATGAAGAGTTTGAAACATTTTATTCACAGGAGAGTAACAGTAATTGAAAGGGCTGGTCTGAAGAGATTTGAAGTATAAAAATGTTTGACTAAGTTGAGTTCTCCCCCTAGTGGAACTTGAAAGAGATCTATTTCCTTTACTAAGAATAACCTAAAATGTATTATTCTTAGAATTAAAAAAGGAGTTTCAGGTTTTAACAAAAGATCTATTTATGGATCTTAATCTGCATGTAATAAATAAATGAGTAAAAGCTGAATTATTAAGATGTTTACTGAAAACACATTTCCTAAGTATTAATAGCAAGCTAGCCAAGGAAAATTTAGCAGAAATACCTCAAAAGCAGAGGACTAGAAGGTACAGAAAATTACAGCAATTTATGAAGGTAGAGCAGTGTGTAGAATGGTAGAGAATTTTGAGAGAATATGAAAATTTTGTAAAGAGAATGTATGTGTGTAGGAGGTAGAGAGGAAGCATGGGGAGATAATGTTGACAGATGAAGTTAGAAATGCAGTTTGGGCAATAAAGAAAAGATAAGCATTTTATGCTAAGGAGCATTAATGTGATTTGGTAGGTAAAAGCAGCCAATAAAAGTTTTTATGATTTACAAAGACAACTCTGGTAGCTTTGTGCAAGAGCTGAAGCTGCAGAAAATGAACCTGGATAGGAAGTTACTAGATAGTTGTTGGGGGCAGATGAATTAAGGGAGTGGTGGAGGTGGAGAGGCTAAGAAAGGCTAAGAAAGATTTTTAAAATATCTTTGAAATAATTAAAATTACCTTTGATTTAGTTTTAGATTTACTCAGGATTTTTCTCTTTTGAAGAACTCAAGAGCTGGACTTTAATCTGTATGAATTATTAAGAATTTGAAGGCAAATTTACAAGAGAAGGTGAGGAGGTCAAATGGTGGTGGGAATGTTAACTAGCACAAGCACTTGGTAAGATAATTGAGTATTATCACGTAAAGTTGAAAATTTGCACACTCTATATAACAGTCCTTGTATAGATGGTACAGGGTAAGAAAAGCATTAAGTGAAATTCCTACTAGTTTGAATAATTCAATAATACATTATACCACTGATTAATACATGAGATACAAAAAAAGAAAACATTTTGGTTGGAATAGGAACACAATTGATTTTAAACATGTTGAATTTGAAGTGTCTGTACAATTTCCATGTGGAGCTGTCTACTGTCCATTAAAATTATTGGTCTTTTCATCAATAGACCATAAATACCATAAATTTAAAAAAAACAAAAAAACACAAAAGACAAGTCAGAGAATGAGAGTAGAAATCTGCAAAACATAATGTCAGTATATAAAGAACTACATCCATAAGAAAAAGACTAGGCAATTGAAAAATATAGTCAAAGGACTTTAATAGGCACTTTACAAAAGAGGTAATCCAAATGGCCTTACTTATTAGTATCAGGCCAATGGTAATTAAAACCACGAAGAAATATCACTGCAAAACTCTCCAGATTGGCAGAAATCAAAACATCTGACACTACCAACTGTTGGTGGAGGATGTGGAACAAGAACTTTCATATACTGCTGTTGGGAGTTTAACCTGTTGCGCTTTGGAAAATAAAGTTGAAGATGTGCATGCTCTCTGACCCAGCAATTTCACAACTTGGTATACATGCCAGAGGAACTTGGGAACAGATAATCAGTAAAGTGCTCATAATTACAGCATTGTTCATAATAGTTCCAATCTGAAAATTCCCAAATGACCACTAATATTAGAATGGATAGTATAATACATTGTGACGTATTCATAAAATGGAACATGTACAACAATAAAAATGATGACTCTTACTAAAATAATGTTGAACAAGGGAAAAAGAGACAAAAAATTAAAATATTCAATGTGACTACACAAAATTCAGAAATTGGCAAAATGAAACATTGTGGATCAGAGATGCGTACAAAGATGATACAACTATAAGGAGTATGATGGTAACCACCATAAATTTTAGGATTTTCATAAAATTCAGGATAAGGGATAGGGTGTGATTGGGTTGATTTCTGGGGTATAGGCAATATTCTCTATAGTGGCCATATGGGCAATATTTTTAAAGATATATTATAATTTTGCTTCATTTACGAACTTCTCTGTATGTTGTTAATAATTTTTTTTTTTTTTAAGGCATAGAAATTACTGATTAGGGAAAACATGCTAGGGGTGAAGACCTAGAAGGATTCACTTGTAAAGATGGTTCCTGAAGCCACATAAGTGAGACTCAGGGGAGAGAGAGTGCAAAGAGAATGAGAGGCCAACAGTGACAAATGAGGTACATTTGAGCAAGACAAAGACCGAAAAAATACCAGTGAGTTTGGCAATTAGGATTCCAGTGGTCACTCAAGTGCCATTTGATGCTAACATACTGCTATTCATAATAAAAATTTCATGCATTTCCTGTTCTATTTTTCAAAAATAACATGCCATATTCCATTTTAAACAAACCATGCATCACACCAGGTTCTTCATTTCAATAAGTATTTCAGACTCAATAAAAAAAGTGATTTAAATCTTGCTATTTTGTAACTAACAGGTATAGAAATGTAGCAAAATCTTATCATTTTGTTGATGTTAGAACAGTAGAAATTAAACTAGAATTGCACATGACAGTATGATTTAAATAGCTGATTACAAATATATTATGCATGTTCTAAGTTTTACTAAATATGTGATACTTTATGGGGAATATTATCAACAGAACATAAAGAATACCTTTTTATAAACTCATACAAATCATAACGTGCTGTGATTACTTTCGACCCAGATCAAAAAAGAGATTGTAATATAATATATAAGTCTTAGAAAGTCACTGAATTTTGAATTGAAATTTAAGGACAAAAGGATTTTTCAGGTGAGGAGAAAACTGTACTTATGGCTTGGAACAGAACAGAAAAAAACTGTGAAAGAAGTAAGATTTTAAACATAATATTTTGCCTATATCAGAAATGTACCTTGTATTGTACAATAAGAAGTAGGATATGAGTGACATTTATTTTTAGAAACTCTTTTTTTAAAAATTTATTGATTTTTGAGAGAGGGAGGGAGAGAAAAACATTGTTTTGTTTTTCTACTTATTTATGCGTTCGTTGAAAACATGTTTGTTTTTAAAGTTTTGAATTTTCCTTTGAAAATAGCTTTGACAATTTAGAAATGCGATAAATTATCATTCAAAAATGGACTTGGAGCACGGGCAACAAAGGAAAAAACACATTAATAGGACTTCAAAAAAAAAAAACAACTTTGTGCATCAAAGGCAAATAACAGATCAAAAAGGTAACCCATGAAATGGGAGAAAATGGTTGTAAACCATTAAATGAGAGAAAATGGTTGTAAACCATGCATCTGAACCCTGGCTGGTGTGGCTCAGTTGGCTAGAGCATAGTCCCTCAAACCGAAAGGTCATGGGTTCAATTCCCAGTCAGGGCAGATGCCTGGGTTGAGGGCCAGGTCCCCAGTAGCGGGCATGAGAGAGGCAACCACACATTGATGTTTCTCTCCCTGTCTTTCTCTGTCTTTTCCCCTCTATAAAAATAAGTAAATAAAACCTTTTAAAAAAAATGGGCAAAGACTTGACGTTTCTCTAAAGAAGGTATACGAAAGGCAAATAAGCACATGAAAAGATGCTCAATATCACTAATCATTAGGGAAATGCAAATTAAAAGCACAATGAGATACTAGTCACGCCCATTAGGATGGCTGTTATTTAAAAAAGAAAACAAAATTAATAATTATTGGGGAGAATGTGAAGAAACTGAGACCCTTATGCATTGCTGGTGGGAATGCAAAAGGCTGCAGCTGATGTGAAAAACAGTATAGCAATTTCTCAAAAAAAAATTAAACATAGAATTGCCACATGGTCAAGCAATTCCACTTAGGGGTATATATCCGAAAGAAATGAAAGCAGAGGCTCAAACATACTTTTACACTATGTTCATGGCAGCATTATTGACAAGAGCCAAAAGGTGGAAGCAATCCAAATATTCACCAAAGGATAAATCGATAAACGAAATGTGGCACATACATATAATGGAATATTATTCAGCCTTAAAAAGGAAGGGAATTCTGACACATATTACAAACATGGATGAACCCTAAGGATATTATGCTAAGTGAAATAAGCCAGTCACAAAAAGACAAATACTGAATGATCTTACTTATATGAGGTACCTAAAGTAGTTAAATTGAGAGCCAGAAAGTAAAATGGGTGTTTTGCAGGAGTTGGGGGACGAGGAGAACAAGGAGCTGTTTAATGGGTGTAGAGTTTAAATTTTGCAAGCTGAAGAGTTCAGCAGATTGGTTGCACAACAATGTGAATTCACTTAACGTCACCTTCAAATGTGTTATGTGCATTTTACCACAATAAAAAAAAATGGACTTGGAAATGAATAAATGTTAAAAACAGAATCACAGTCACTTTTTGGATGAAGATGTAAGTCACTGTTTGGGTGCAGAGGTAACAGAAAACTATTGTGTTCTTTTTATATGTACTTTATTATTTTCATATAGTACCTGGATTTCAAGCTCAGCAATGTGCTGCTGTAGTTCAGCCACAGCAGCTATGCTGTCTGCTTCCCGGAGTCTCACAGCCATCACTTCTTCCTTGTTCTAGGGTGACAAACAAAACAAACCAATAATAAACCAAACTAATAATAAACTAATAAAGCATAAACAATGTCACTTATTTCAAAATTTAGAAAATAACAAATAAGCCCATGAATAAATGAGAAAAAAGCCATTATCTCCTAAACTTGATATAAAATGAAGACTATATAGAACAGCATTCCATCTTTAAATATTAAGAAATGCCATTCATATAAATAAATATCACTCAAGATCTTTAAATTAAAAATTAAAAGTATTAAAATTACTGGTGACTGTGAAAGTTAAGTTTTTATGAAAGAACAATGATTGAAAATTTTCAAACACTTAAGTAGGATGACAGACTAATGGAGAACATGGATACTAACAGAGTATGTTAGCTAGATATTTTAAAAGTTATATTATTTCTGAAGCAATAAATGTTAATGAATATTTACGCTGTACTACGAAGAATAATATTAAAATATACCACAATTCTGCATAATATGTACCCCACCTCAAAATTTCACAAAAGAAAAATTCTAAAAACATATTCTACAGTATGTATGAGAAATGCTAATCCAGAAATAACAATGAAATATAGAGGAAAAGTGTATGCAAAAATATTTTGCTCTCCCATTAACTTCAGCTGAAATATATCAATCATTTAGGATTAAAAATGTGTAGCATGGTGATCATATAATATTGACATTATAATATCAGAATGTAAAAAATACTAAATTTTATAAAAGTAAAATAATTAAACTTTTAAATAAAAATTTATATTGCCGTAAACTGGAAGGTCATGGGTTCGATTCCTGGTCAGGGCACATGCCTGGTTTGCAAGCTAGGTCCCTGGCTGGGGGCATGCAAGAGACAAGCAATCTATGTTTCTCTCCTTCTCTTTCTCCCTCCCTTCCCTTCTCTGTAAAAACACATAAATAAAATCTTTAAAAATTTATATTTATTTTGTATCTCAGATACAATATTGGGACTTCAAGCAAATACTATTTTAAATATTTTGTAAAGTTGCCTATGGCCAAAACATGTAGTCTCTGCACCCAATGTTGTGCTGATGTTTAACAACCAGCTTCCGTGGACGTTTGTGTGTGTGTGTGCGCGCATGCTCATGTGCACATGCATATATCTGTGTGTGTGAAATGTGTTTATGCATAAGTATATATTTTAATATTAACTGATATAAAGGATGTATAGTACAAAACACTAACATAATAAGACATTCAATACTCATTATTGTAAATTCTATATAGTCAGTATGTTCTCACAGAATACTTTGACTTATTTTTGCCAAACTCTTATATCCATAAGCCACCTATGGTTGAAACTGAGGAACAAATGAAGTTTCAATATGTACACTGCTTAATTATTTTTGTTTATGTTAGAGATAAGATGGAAGTGAAATTAGGAGGATATGTTAGAATTTCACTTATTTGTCAATGAACAAGTTTTTGCTGATTCTAATAATAGTAATTAAGTAGAAGAAAATTTCCTTAATATTGTGTGCTAGTCACAACATTAAGGCTGAACATACCACAAACTTCTAAGCTTTAATCTGCATAATTAGTTCACAGCAGGAGTGAAAAACTTTCCCTTAAAGGGTCATATAGTAAATATTTTCGCCCTGATGGCCATGCAATCTGCCACAACTATTTTATCTGCCACTGGAGCATGAAAATGGCCATAGTACATTCCTGAATTAACAGGCTGTATTCCAATAAAACTGTATTTACAGAATCAGGCAGTCAGACAGATTTGGGCCATGGGCCATAGTTTGCCAAATCCTGGTCTAGGTTATCAAGCCCTGATATGTAGTTTGCCAACTTATGTGGTGTAAATACTTCTACTATGGCTCCTTTCAAGCTGCCAACATAACATGACAAAAACACAGAGCTGGGATGAAATGTGCAGTAGCATGCTATTGTATGGTGTTTCCACCACCTACAGCTACAACTGGTATAAATAACCTCAAAAGCACAGATAATAGTAAAATGCAAAATAATTAGGAAATGATGTTTGAGTGTTTGTTACCTTTGTTCTACTATAATTTAATTACATTAAATAAAAATTTTAATATGGTTGTTTAACAAACGTGTCATAAAATTCTCAAAAATTTAATAATCGGTTCTTGCAAGCTTTTACTAGTTGGCTCCAGCACACCACTGTGTCTATGTTTAACAAAATTCATATCTGGTTTTGTCGCCCCCTTATTTTATTTATTTTTTTAAGATTTGTTTATTTATTTATTTTTAGAGAGAGGGTAAGGAAAAGAGAAAGAGGCAAGAAACATCAGTGTGTGGTCACCTCTCATGCACCCCCTTACTGGGGACCTGGTCCGCAACCCAGGCATGTGCTCTGACTGGGAATTGAACTGGTGAGCCTTTGATTCTCAGGCCAGCACTTAATCCACTGAGCCACACCAGCCATAGCTACATTTTAAGCACATTAAAGGCATTCCACTGATCTTGAAATAATGTTCCAGGTCCTTTATGGGTAACCAAGACTATATGATTTGGCTCCCCCTTTACTGTCCTACCTTCATATCTTACACTATTCCTCACCTCCCTCTCCAGCTAATATACTTTTTTTAATTCAACCAACATGTTGTTCTTTTTTACTTTTGCTCTTCACACATGCGATTCCCTTTGCCTATTGACTTCTGTTGCCTTTCCTTGAACTAACTCCTACATATTCTTAAGGTCTCAGCTTAATCATTTCTTAGTTGGCCTTCCTTGAACCATGACTCTTACAATAAATTCCTATTATGGTGCCCTGTATGCCTCCTCAGTCATAGCACCTGTCATTGTGTGTTACTTGCTTATATCCTTTACTAAGAGAAAGCCCCTTGAGAACAGTGATCTATCCCATACTCATCTCCACCTTGTAATGGATGTGAGTGATCCACCTAAAATTCCCTATCTTCTCACTTCAGTTAAACAGATGGCTGCAGCCTCATGAGAGACTAAACCACAACCACTTAGCTAAGTTGCTCCTGAATTTCTGACCCATGGAATCTCTAGGATATTGGTGCTGACTGCCATTTCAAGCCACTAAGTTTTAGAGGTAATTTATTCAATACCAATAGATAACTGATATATTTATACTCTACTGATTTTAATTAGTCTGTGTAAAAATGTACAAGTATAAGAACAAAAATTTAGGCTTAAATTTCCCCTAATCTCCCCCCTCACCAATATACCTACTTACCAAATAGATGTTGAATTGATGTATTTCTCTAGTTTAACTGCCAATATCTGAGCCCAAGCTAATGCCTCTGTCCCGTACTATTATTACTTGATGATCTCGTATCAAATCTCTCTCCAACCCTACTCCAAACCCATTTCCACATATAGTGGCATGTGGTTCTTTAAAAAAATTAGTCATTACTGCAAGCAACATCCCCTAATAAGTGCTAAAACGCTGTAACCCTTTCCATACAGGGGTCTTCTCCTGACTCTTCATTAAGGTTGATTCTTTCTTACTCTTTAGGTCCCAGCTCTGATACCTCCTTCTGGCACTGGATCTTAATTACCACTTGCCCTTAATTCCCAGTCCACAGTAAATCATTAGTAATGATCTTATGTATTTTCACTTATTATCTCACTAAACACTACATCCACCTTCTTCAATACTGTATCTCCCCAGTGCCCTTCAAAATAAGTGACAAATAAAAGATGTCCACATATTTGATGAATACATAAGTAGTTGCCATCATTCTTTGAAGTCTCACAATGTCAACTCCCAATCCTATTTGAGAATCACTGTCCTAGAATATGTAAATGACATCTATTTAAGATGAAAAGATTTGCCTACACACTTTGTAATAACACGACGAAGAAACAGGAATTATAATGCCCTGCTGGTCAAAGTATAAAATGATGCAAACCTAGGAGGGTAACTTGAAAAAGATCTATGAAAAGTACAAAAATGTATTTACCATTAACCAAACAATAAAATTTATAGGCATTTATCCTGTAGGGATGTGTAGATATATTTCTATATATCTGAAATTATGTATGTTTCAAAGTTGTTCACTATACCCTGTTTATGGTAGCAAAACACTGGGAACAACCCACGTGCCCGTCAATAGGGGCCTACTTAAGTATACTACGGTACAGCCATGAAATGGAAAACAATGTACTTTGGAAACTAATGGGAAGACCCTTCAAGGACTAATACTTAAATTCTACAAAACATATCATTAAAAAAAAAAAAAGCAAAAAGAATATAAAGTGTGCTAACATTCATGTGAGAGAGAAAAAAATTAGGTATTTTACTTAGTATTTGTCTAAAACAGCTCTAAAAGGATTTATCAAAAAATAATAAAAGCATTACATGGAAAAAAAAAGAGATATGTCATAGGGTCAGGAATAGAATAAGATAGAAGGGAACAGGGATGTTACAATACTAGCATTATAATCATAGTAAAATACTTTGATTCACTTTCTTCACTTAACATTATTTATTTTGTAATTTTACAAGTCTGTATATAAATTAATATACATTTTCTCATGGAGATATATATCTCTGTATGTAGAACTAGAGAATATAAAATTCTCTACATAATCTCCAAGTTTCAATTTATGCAGAAAATCCCATAATATCATTACTGAAATCTTGGGAACCAGATGCGTTATGAAATTTCAGATTTTTTAGATTTTAGAAAAGTAATATGGTGTATAAACCATATATTAGTCTTACACAGTGGGATCTGAGGCAGCACCCATAATGAAACAGTATACTCAATGCTCAACACAATAAAGCAGTAAAGTATAAATACCCACAACCAACTGAGATATTTTAAAATGATAAATGACCATATCTCAATTCAAATCAGGTTTCGCTTCCAAATCAATCTGCGTAAAATTTATGAGAAAAACCTTTGAGTTTACAGTGTTTAGGATTTTCATATTGGGGATCATAGACTTGTACTATTTCATCTTTAAGTAGGAATGTTCAAATTCAGTTACAGAAGGAAAATAACACTAATGTCAAAACAGCACCCTGACATTTTAAATAAATGAAAAATGAAATGAACTTTAATAATTACTTATCAACAAATAATAAGCTATAATCATATAAAACTAAATGAAAATTAGTTGGATTCATGTAATTGAAGGACTGGCTTCCCTGGAAGTTAGATTTGTCTTTAAATTGGTCCAACATAACAAGGTAAAAACACATACACTTAATCAGAATGTACTAGGAGCTGGAGTGACAACACACTGGTCACTTTTGAAATCTGCAAAAGGCATTATAAAAGATTAAATCAATCAATATAAAGCTTAAACCAGAGGAGAAACCAGAATCAGCATCTGTAACATACTTCACAGGGGTATTAATGAACAATTGTTCCTTTTTTAAATCTCAAAACAGTTCTTAAAATTCTCTGAAATTCTGAATCTGAGCCCATTGCCCAGAAAAATTCAAAGAAAACAATTATTTTCATTAACAAATTCCCCAAAAATTTATTTCCAAAAAATAATTTACTTAAAAGGCATCTGAGGATCAATACTAAATGCAGTAACAATGTTATCGACACATTTTTAAGGAAAGCTTACACCGATAATGAAAAAGATTAAATTTTGTTCTTTATTAAAAATAAGTCAGCAGACAATATAGCATCCAAAAAACTGGATCAGATATTAGTATAACAAATCAAATTGATATAACCTCATGCTATATCATTTTATTTTTTTAAGATTTTATTTAATTATCCACAGAAAGAGGGGAAGGGAGGGAGAAGGAGTGGGAGATAAATATCAATGTGCAAGAGAAACATCGATCAGCTGCCTTTTGCATGGCCCCAACCAGAGACCTAGCTGGCAACCCAGGCAAGTGCCCTGAGTGGGAATCAAACTGGCAACCTTTCAGTTTGTGGGACAATGTCCAACCCACTGAACCACACCAGTCAGGGCCACATCATTTTATTTCTAAATTAGTATAGTCATATCCTTCAAGAGGGACTATTCTTAAATTAGTACAAATTTCAGTACTGCCTACAGATTTCTGTCAGTGTAAATTGTAACAGCCATGCATATTAATTAGGATGTAATTTCATCTCTGGATTTCAGTGACACTGATAAACCACTCAAGCTTCACTCTTGGTTTTTAATGACACCAGAACAAGTTGATGGAATTACAGCTTTATATGTGCCATTGAAAGTCTTATTTCTTTTCATAGAATAACAGGGCTGGAATCTTTAAAGGACATCATTCCTACTATCTCATCATGGAAGATGGATGTCTAGTTTATTTTTAAAATCCTATAGCTTGCCCTCAATAATCCATTCTAATGCTCAGACCACAGTCATCTCTTTAGTTATTTCCCACACACACACCCTCTCCTCCCATTCTGCTCCCCGTCTCCTCTATCACCACTACAATACTGTATATTTATTTCAGGAAAACATGTCCTTGCATTTAAATACTTTCATGCTTTATGAATCTAAACACTTCACAAGAAATAGAAAAAGTAATTAAAATAATGAGAAATGTAGAAAATTTCCCCAGTCCATTGGAACACATAACACTTCTTTTGCTCTCTACTCTATCTAGAAAACATGTTGATATTCACAGTTCACTAATAAGGTACCTATCAAAGCAGAGTTGCCCTAACCTCTCTAAATTCCCTGTCTTGTCAGTTGAGACCTTAAAAGCTTTGGTTTAAAGGGTTACAGATCAAAAAAAGTTGTAAAGAGATAACATATTAACCCCTTAGTTACCTTGATTTCATGTACTGGCATGTGGTTGAAAATGAGGTTTTCTGGTGAAATGCACCCCAGAGCAAGATATGCTAACGTAGTCTAAAAGCAACCACCAAACCAAGTTCAGAGAAAGTGGGGAATAAAACTAGCTTCTTATGGCTTCATTTGATTTTAAGACAATGTAATCAATGCTGAGATAAAACCAAAAAAAAAAAAAATGCATTTTTATATTGACAAAAACAAACTAGCTAGTTGATATATTTACCTTGCATTCAATCTCAGCTTGTTTGCGTTTCGCTTCACTTAACTGAGTAAGTAAACCTTTGTTCTGCGCAGAAAGATACTGCACCTTCTCCTGTAGACTGATCACCTCTTGTTCTGCTCTTCGAAGATGATTACTATTAATCTGGTTCTAATAATAAAAAAAAGTAAATATTCAGATTATATAGAAAAAAGGCCTGAAAAAAACTTACAAATTTCTACCTGCCCATTTCATAGAGCTTACACATTATAAAAAGTGTTATTACTAGTTATAGGTCAATTTTATTCAACAAATACTTAAAAATGAAAAAAAAAGGATTTATAAAACTGCTTTAAAAATCAAATCATCTAAAATAATACATAAGGTCCATATTAGAAACAGTCATAATAGTCCACTTTATCATTTATATAATAAATACCTACAAACTATAAAGATTTTTACACAGAACTTGAAGGTATTAATTTCTGAAATAGGCAATATGGTATAAAGTTTCCAATCCTCTTTCCAGTTCTCAGAAGAAAGCACAGACTGATTGAAGGTACTATTACCATTTGCTGGGCTGTAAACCTGATGTCACAAAATATGTCATGTGCATGCCTACGTTCCTCCGATGTGCAGCACAGTTTATTTTTATGGAACAAAGACTGATTCTGAATTCTGGCTTACGATTTGGTAATAAAGCAAACTAGTTAATATCTCTGAGTCTCTATTGCCTTATTTGAAAAATGTATGTAAAAATACTGCCTATTTCTCATTTGGTTGTCTTCAGGATTAAATGAGATAATATATGTAACAGGCTTAATAAAGAATAAGAAGTCAATAAACACTAGCTACTTAAGTATTATAATTATAGGACATGCTAAAAAAAATAACATAGACCTTGAATCAACTGACTTGAGGTAGTTTTTCCCATCAGGCTTGATGCAGCCTGAATTTCCTCAACCCCAAATTATTCTATCAGGGGCCTGAAAGAAACAGTAAGAATTTTCATAATCAAAGACAAGTAAAATCTGGCTCCTCAATGAACAGTTCTTTAACCTTGGTCAATCTCATTATCTAATCTCATCCAATTTCAGTTCACTGGTATAAGCGTAGATTTACCACAGCACTTGCCTTTCAAGGCTCTGTTGTGAGAACGACATGAGAAAAGTTTATGAAAGGAGTCTCACACAATGCCTGAAATTTAACAGATACTTAATAAATGCACAGCTGTTGCTATAATTATACCTCTTCACCTGACTCTCTGAAAAGGACCCTGCCTCCAGTTTTCATAAAATATATGGATCATCTAATAGATATAAGCTCCAAAACTTTCTACCACTTCTGGGTTTCTTCATCTTCGTATTTACTTGTCTTTCTGACTCACAGAAGAAATTCCTCCTTTCTAAGAACATCTTCTATATTACTCTCTTCTTTATTATTTTCAAAGAATACTATCTGTCTACAAAATTATTTATAAACTTCTTAGTATTGTATTGAAAATGTTCCATAAGCTTTTTTACTGTCTTGCCTTCTACCATTAAAACAAATAACTACACTTCAGAGGGACATGTCTTTGATATAAGCTCCAAAGAACTGCCACAGGTAAAACTCCAACTTTTACCCCTAATTACAATTCCATGATCCAAAATTACAAAACACACATAAACAAAACTGAAAAATTGCCAATGAATGAGAAATAGTAGATAAAAAGAGAAAAATAGATTTTTGAGAACTCTAGATAAAATCACAGGGACTTTATATATAATTCAACATTACTAGACATAAAAAGAGGGAGCAAAAACATAAGCAAAGCACAAGTCACTCTCAAGAAAATTCAGCAAATTTAAAAAAATAACCAAATACAATTTCTAAAATTAACTACTGATATTAAAATCAATTAAAGGGTTAAACCGATTAAATACCATGAAGAAACAATTTGTGCCCCAGAAAGAAGTCAAGAGACATAGAAAAGAACATGAGAAAGTAAAAAAACCCTGCCTAATAAGGGTTGTAAGATAAAATAGGAAAAAAAGGCAGTGAGAGATGGTCCAAGACAGCAACTTTCAACCTTTTTCATCATTAGTTATGGCACACATAAACTAATTACTAAAATTCTGCAGCACACCAAAAATTATTTTTTATTTTTTGCAGCTCTGACAAGAAATAGGTATAATTTTGATTCATTCCCACTGGACAGATACTGTTGTATTGGCTGTTGTCTTTTTTTCATCTGACAGTCTAAGGGAAATGAGGTCAGTGCCCCCGACTAAATAATCAGGTACCATATATTTTAAAAATTCTGTGGCACACTAGTTCAAAATCGCTGGTCTAAGAGATGATAATAGTTAAGAATTTTTTATAATTAAAAAAAAAAACGTATAAATCCACATGAAATTCAGGAAGCATAACTAGTCCCAAACAGGACAAATAAATTCTTACCAAGACACAATGTAACCAAACTTAGAATGTTAAACAAAAGAAGAGGCAAATCAAGGAAAAATCTGAGTATCTATGAAGGGGGAAAGTGAAATATCTGGCAGACATATTAACAGGAAAAACATGTAGTATTTAAACAAATAAATTTCATCCTACAACAGTATTCAGCTAAACTATTTTACAAGAGTGAGAGAAAGCATACTTATTTTCAGAAAGTGAGAGTTTATAGCACTTGATAGAAATTTAAATAAAAGAAAGAATAGAGAGCAAAAAAATAGGTAGACAAATCCAAACAAGCACTGACTCCATAAACAATAATAATGTCTAGTAATTTGGAAGTATGAAAGTGATGTGCAATAACAGTAAGATGTAAGATTAGAAGATAGAAAAAGAGCATATAAAGTTTGTATAATGCCCTTAATACAGTTTGGAAGGAAGATGGAAATAATTACTAACTTTAGACTTTGTTCAATCAGGTAAGTAAGCATTTTTAATTTTTTTCAAGTAACAAACACTAAAGGCAAAAAACATTATGAAAGTCAAACTAGTAGAGAGAAAGAGAAAACTAAATTAAGCCAATAAAAAGCAATATAGGAGGAAAAAGCAGAAAAACAAAGACATGGAAATGACAAAATAAAACAATTTCAAATATTTTAAAATAAAGACTTGATTTCTGGTCAGGGATGTAGAGTCAGAAAAAGCATTGCAACCACTCTTTCAATTAAAAAAGAAGAAAAAAAAAAGCCAGTCAAACTCTAAGTTCATGACTTTTGTTGAACCCAGAGAGGTGAGGTCAGAAGATAATCGACCAGCCCCAAATCCAAGAAGAGACAAGAGTAGAAGCAGCCAGAAGCTGTTAAGCATATTTCAGCTAGAATAAATATCAAACTGGGAGAGGCCAAGTGTAGGGTAGCTAGAGAATGAGGAGCCCAGGATAGCAGAAGAGTTCACAAACTTCTTCATGGACCCCAGCAGATATACTACAAAAAGACTGATGAGAGTCTTAAGAAAGAGAAGCCAATGGTACAGAACTGAGAGAGGGGAATAGCAGCCAATATGGGAGGGGCACTGACTCTTGCTTTCTAACTGTTCCAGGTAATAAAAGGTTTAATCTGCTTGGAACACTAATCTCCTTGGGGCACTAGGGAAATCTTTGTATCTGAGTAAGGGGAAGGACTATGTTTTGGCCTAGGACTATAGCTGAGGGTAGTGCAGGAGCACTAAGAAAGCCAAATACTCAGATCCAGGGACAGTACAGCCTAAGACTGAGGCTTTACCAGAACAGGGCCGAGGTGTTTTCTGCCCTGCCAACTTCTCATAACAAGTAAGAGGAGAATACTGCTGGAGACCAACCCTCTCTGAAGTGCTCTGTAAAGGGAAGACCTAAAGATAGTGACAAAACCCTTTGGCAAACCAGCCCCCAATCTAAAAATAAGATATTGCTAGAGGAATTTGAAGCCTGTGGTGTAATGAGGGTAACCACAAAAACAACAAACCTCAAACCCAACCCACCTCCTGACTATATTAACTCAAATCCCCCACATTAAAGTCCTAGCAGGAGGAAAGGTGTGCACATAGTTTTATCCAGGCACAAAAACTATTTACCTTAGTCTACCATCCTACACAAGATATCCAGTTTTCAACAGAAAAAAAAACAAAAAACTATAAAGCATAGGACAAGGTAAGAAAAAAACTAAGCACAACCTAGACACAAAACAATCAACAGAACCAGCTTCACATATGACACATGGAATTTAAAATAAAGGCTCTAAGGAAAAGGTGAAAAGCATGTAAAAAATCAGATAGGTAATATCAGCAAAGAAATGAAAACTAAGACTCAAACAGAAGTGCTAGAAATGATAAATACAGTAATTGATGTGAAGGATGCCATCAATGGCTCATCAGACAACTCAGAAAGTGGAGGAAAGAATCTGTGGACTTAATAATGCTAATAGAAATATTTCAATCAGTAAGAACTAAAACATGAAGAGCAAAATAAAGGGGGAGAAGAACAGAGCATCCAAGAGTTGCTGGACACCAAACAATCTAACACATATGTAACTGAAATGCAAAAAGAAGACAGTATGAAACAGAAGAAATATCTGGAGAAATAATGACCCAGAATTTTCCAAATTTTATGACAGACACAATTCCACAGATCCAAAAAGCTCAGAGAAATAAAAAGGCAAAAAACACTCAATTCATATCACATTTCCCAAAACAGACTATCCATTTGATCTAAATTCCAAATTTCAAATATATCGCTTAAAGTTATTCCAATATTCGTTTTGAAAAGCATTTTCCCTGGATGAGGCAAAAGGAGGCTTACAACTGTATGTGAAACACAGAGTTTATTCTTGTATTATTTATTTATTATTATATTATTTTCCATATGAAAAACTGTAAACCTACTTTAGCGCCATCCTGTATTTATATTTAGCGCCACCCTTTCTTTTTTTATTATTTTATTTATAAATCATGTTAACTCTATTACAGTTGTCTCAATTTTTCCCCCTTTATCCCTCTCCACCCATCCCACCTCCACCTCCAACTCCCACAGTCCATTCCCACTCTGTTGTCCATGTCCATGGGTCATTCATACTTGTTCTTTGTCTAGTTCCTTCCCCTTCTTTCCACCATTGTCCTCTTTCCCCATCCCCTCTGGCCACTTTCAGTCTGCTCCATGTTTCCATGTCTGTGGTTTATTTTGCTCGTTAGTTTATTTTGTTGAA